CTGAAATACCCTAGCTTAGGTGCTGAAATGTGCAACATTTAAGCACTTATCACCTAACTTCCTTCGAGTGGTTTCGGCTCTTCTAGTTCGCCGAAGGTTGGAAAGTCTTGACTTGACTCTTGCCGATCTACTTACTACCTATACCATTGCCAGGCATGGGACTGAGCCTAGCCGCTTCTACCTCACTTCTCCCCTTCATCAGAGAATATGCACGAACTTCCCTTCTTCCGAGAAGAAGTGGAAGGAGAGGATGATAATTGTGAAGGGGAACTGGTTTGTGGACAAATCGAATTCCCTTCCCATTCCTCGTAAATTTGGGAAGTTAGGTATAGAGTACTTTCCCTCATTTCATGAAAAATGCTCTGGTTGTTTCCCATGTCAAGTTTTATTATTTCACCATACTTATGAATTTCTTGGTCTTCTTTCAGAAACCTTTCCTTCTTCCGTAGCTAAGAAGAGGCTCGCCTTTCTCGAAGCACAGGTTTGGAGTGAACCCCCTTCGGTAGAGGAGCTACTCACCTCATCCAACCTTCAGGAAATCACTGCTAGTGCTTCCGCTGCAGATCTCATGGATTTGGCGCTCCCCTCTTTCGATAACTTTTCCTTGACTGAGGAGGAAAAGCTGAGGGCTGAAGCTCTGAAGAAGAAGGTTGCTGAGGAGCAACCTCTGCTGGTTATTAGATCAACTGAACATGAGTAGGAGGTGGATGAACCCCCTCTCAAAAAGACTAGATCCAATCCTCCCTCTAGCAGTAAGAACAAGATCGTCCCTAAAAATAAGGGGGAGAAAGCTGGAGAGACTAACCTGAAGGAGGAAGTCCGTGCTTATGTTCAGGCTGAGTCTGGAGAACCCCGGAGGCCTATCTTTTCAAGGGCTGATAATTCAGATCTCCATTCCGGGATTCCATAGTCTCTGACCCCTTTGCTGCCTTGGCAGTTGCTCGAGGTATGTGGCTTCCCAAGGATGAGGAGATTATTGGGAATCTAAGGCTGGACCAGCTGCTGCCATCTGCCCCAGTGGATGCCATGAAGGTTTATTCTTTTTCATCTATTTGTTCAATTCTTCAAATTTATCTTTACCACGAATCTACTAACATTGTTATTGTCGATCATGCAGAGTTTGTACCAGACTATAGCACTATGTGCCACTGCTGAAGCTCAGTCCTTTTCCATTAAGAAATTGGAAAAGGACTTAGGCAATGCTGAGAAAAAGTCTTCGACTGGGCTATGAATGCGAAGATTGCTTCTAATGCGAGGGATGTCTACAAGAATCGCCTGACAGCTTCTGAGGTAAAGGTACAAGCTCTGGAGACTGAAGTCCAATGCTTAAATGATGCCATTGGTACCTGTATTACTGCTGGGAGGCAAATACAGGGACGCTACTTTACCATCGTGCGTTTATCCAGCGCAGAAGCTTTTAGGTTCTGCTTCAACCAGGGCTCTAGTGACAAGTCGAAGTACCCAGAAGCCTTTGATGCTAACATGGGGGTGTCGTTTCCTTATGTTGAGGAACCCAAGGCTCAGGAAGCTGAGGTGCTTTTTGCCGAGATGGTGAAAGCTTATCTAGAAGTTCCTTAAGCCTCAAGCTTGCCAGCTCCTCCATCCTCTGACCTGCTGACCCTTCTTCCCACCAATCCAAATGTGGTGGACGCCTTTGACTCTACTCCCTTTGATCCAAAAAGGAAGTCGAGTTGTGTAATTGCGTTTTTTTTTGTTTCTTTCCTTGTTTTGAAAGAACAAATATAGAAACTATAACTTTTGCAATGCAATGACTATATTTACTCTAAAGTCTTCTTCATGCTTATGAATACCTCTGGTTTTTATACAATTATATTGTAATAATATGCTCCTTGCAGGAAGGCTTATTGCTTGAGAGCTTTGGATCTTTTGTGGTCCGAAGTAAAAACAGGACAGATGGTAAGAAGGGAATCCTTTTGACCATTTAGTTATTACCTGAGGAAGGCTTCTTCATCTAACATTCCAACTGTCAAGGGAACCCTTCTTGCCATTGATTTGCAAGGAATGAACACATATCAATGCTTGTCTTTCTTTATATTATTTCAATGTGGGATGAAATCTTTCATGGCTTATGCATCATTTAACCAATTAAGTAAGGATATGTAGGTGTGTCTCCATAGAGAACTTTTGCCTCTGTTTAGACTTATACCTCATTAGCGCAGCTTCAGACTTCAATCGTTCGAAGTAACACCCTTTGGCTGAATGTTGAACTTGAATCGTCTGAGGTGATATTATTAGTCAGCCAGGAGCCTGAGAGGAGTTGTATTATGCTAAACTCCTATTGACCGATGCAACGAGCTCCTTGGTTATGAGTCAGAGAGGAGCTGTACTGCTCCGGAGTCCCGAGGTCCGAGCGTTGTGTTCTTTGGCAATCAACTTAAGAAGAGTTGTATTGTGTCTGACACTTTGGGTCTGAGAAGTTATCTTCCTCAGTTATAAGCCAGAGGAGAACTGTGCTGAGCTGGACTCTTGGGGTCCGAAGCGAAGTGTCCTCTGCTGTGAGCCGGAGAGGAACTTTTCTGAGCTGGACTCTTGGGGTCCGAAGCGAAGTGTCCTCGGCTGTGAGCTGGAGAGGAACTTTTCTGAGTTGGACTCTTGGGGTCCGAAGCGAAGTGTCCTCTGTTGTGAGCCGGAGAGGAACTTTTCTGAGCTGGACTCTTGGGGTCCGAAGCGAAGTGTCCTCGGCTGTGAGCTGGAGAGGAACTTTTCTGAGCTAGACTCTTGGGGTCCGAAGCGAAGTGTCCTCGGCTGTGAGCCGGAGAGGAACTTTTCTGAGCTGGACCCTTAGGGTCCAAAGCAAAGTGTCCTCGTCTGTGCGCCGGAGAGGAATTTTAGTGAGCTGGACTCTTGGGGTCTGAAGCGAAGTGTCCTCGGCTGTGCACCGGAGAGGAACTTTAGTGAGCTGGATTCTTGGAGTCCGAAGCGAAATGTCCTCGGCTGTAAGCTGTAGAGGAACTTTACTGAGCTGGACTCTTGGGGTCCGAAGCGAAGTGTCCTCGGTTGTGAGTCGGAGATGAACTTTTATGAGCTGAACTCTTGGGGACCGAAGCGAAGTGTCCTCGGTTATGCATCGGAGAGGAACTTTAGTGAGCTGGACTCTTGGGGTCCGAAGCGAAGTGTCTTCGGCTGTGCGCCGGAGAGGAACTTTAGTGAGTTGGATTCTTGGGGTCCGAAGCGAAGTGTCCTCGACTGTGCGTCGGAGAGGAACTTTAGTGAGTTGGATTCTTGGGGTCCGAAGCGAAGTGTCCTCGGCTGTGCACCGGATCTGGAAAAATCATCAAGTATGCCAGGCTTAGCCGAGGATTCAAAAATGATATGAGGCCAAGAAAGAGAATAACTGTGACTGGGAAGTCCCACATACATTAGTTTTGGAAGGCTGTCCTGCATAGAGACTCTCTTCGTGGCAATCAAATGCAGTTTGTCAACTCTATATTTACTATATACCTTTTGTATTCCTATCCAATGTGGGACAAAGGATATATGAGCTACTAAAATTGGTTTGTTTGGAAAGAACAAAAATTATTGCAAAGAATGCCTGTTGGTATAGGTGCTTTGAACACAACTTGGGCTGGGCCATTACTATTACCAACGGACCCTCTTTGCAATGCATCTATTTACTTTAATATTTCCTTATATAATGGTAGCATAGAAAAACAGTGTTTTTTCGATGTGGGACCATGGTAGATAAGTGTTCTGAATTGCACACACTTGTAGCTTGTGTCTAAAAATGAAAAAAAACTGTAAAGAAACCTTGGGCTCATAACTTAGATAGAGCCTAAATGTCCATTACCAAAGGACTTTTGATATCAATAATAGGGTACATACTTGTACTTTGGTGTACTTGTATAAAAAAGGACTTGTATAAAGTCAAAATTTATTCATTTTGTTTGCTTTGTATTGTTTCTTTTGTTGTATATCCTTTTTTTTTTTTTTTTTTTTTTTTTTTTTTTTTCTGTTGTAATATCAACAGTAGGGTGTATTGCCCCCTATTACAACAAGAGAAGTAAGGCCCCACTTTACTGAAGGAGTAAAGAGGTGCAAAGATGTGCATAACTTCAAGAAACTTTTATTAAATAGGCCTATAAGCAGCCATACTTTGGATAAAAAACAGACGTATGTAGTCTGTAAAAAGAAAGTAAACAAACTGTATCATCTAATGATAGTACCTTTTTAAGTGTATTGCATTCCATGGATGCGCAATTGGACGCCCATCAGCTTCTACCAATCGGTAAGCTCCTTTTTCCTACTACTTCAGTGACTCTGTAAGGTCCAATCCAATTAGGTTGCAACTTTTTTACATGGGCCGTTTCTTGTTTCAGCACCCAATCTCCTTCCACAAAACGTCTGAACTTAACGCGCTTGTTGTAACTGTAACACAACTGTTGCTGGTATGAAGCGAGCCTAATTGTCGCGACATCCCTCTTTTCTTCCAAGAGATCAAGGCTGTGCTCGAGTTACTGATCATTGTTACCTTCGAGTACCAAGTGAGACCGAAGAGTCGGAACTGCTAATTTCGTAGGTATGACAGCCTCTGAACCATAGGCCATGGCAAAAGGGCTTTCTCCTGTTGGTTGGCTAGGGGTGGTTCGGTATGCCCAAAGTACCTGTGGTAGATTCTCGTACCATTTAGATTTAAGCTTTTCCAACTTTTTCTTCAAGCAGCTGAAGATAGTTTGATTAATTATTTCTGCCTGTCCATTCCCCTGAGGATGGCTAACCACAGCCAACTTCTGCCTAAACCCATGCTCGGCAAAGAACTTTTTTGTGCTTCGGTTATCTAAATTCGGGCCATTGTCCATCATGATCACATGTGGCACCCCAAATCGGTAGATTATATTATTCTATAGAAAACTCTTCACTTGTTCATGGGTCACGCTTGAGTAGGCTTCGGCTTCTACCTATTTAGTGAAATAATCGGTGGCTAACAACACATATTCCTTCTTCTCCACCGTTTTGGGCAAAGGACCGACCATATCGATCCCCTACTGAGTGAATGGCCATGGATTCTCCATTGCGTGCAAATCTTCGGCAGGTTGATGTTTCATTGGACCATGTCGCTGGCACTTATCACACCTTCTGGCATACTCTTCAGCATTCTGAACCAAGTAAGGCCAGAAATAATCTTGAGTTAGAACTTTATGTGCCATAGACCTGCCTCCGGAGTGATTGCCATAATCCCCATCATGAATCTGCTGCAGTATCGTGAGAGCCTCTGTGGGGCTCAAACATTTTAGGTAAGGACCTAAGAATGATTTTTGATACAATTAGTTATTGATAATAGCATATTTGGTTGCGATGAGCCTGAGTTTTCATGCCTCGGCCTTCTGGTTCGGGATAGTCCCCTCCTTAAGGTAAGCTTCCAATGGATCCATCCTGCATGGTTCACGTGGGACAATTCGGATCACCATTATCTCCTGTCGAGGGCTTATACTTGGTTCGTCCAGGATGTCGATTGGTACAATCCGGACCAAATCTTCATCCGAAGAAAATGCTGCTGTAGCCAACTGATCTGCTTCAGAATTCTCCTCGTGAGGTATTTGATGAAACTCGATCTGATTGAACCCTCGCGAGACAATCTCCACACCTTCTCTGTAGGCCTTCATTCTATCTTCCTTAGGCTGGTACTGGTCTGTTACCTGATTCACAATAAGCTGAGAATCACTAAAAACTTTTAGGAACCTTACCTGAAGCTAGTTTGCCAACCGGAGTCCTGCTAGTAGGGCTTCATATTCCGCCTCATTATTAGCAACAGAAAAAGTCAGCCGAATTGACTGCTGCAGTTTGGTGCCTTCGGGAGTTGTGATAATGACTCATGCTCCAGCACTACTCAAGTTCGAGGAACCATCTACCCGAAGCTCCCATTGCGGTTCGGAAGGGCATGGCTCTTCGTGCTTATCTTCATACTCCAAGAGGAAATCAGCTAGCGCTTGCCCTTTGTGCGACACATTCGGTTTGTAGGATATGTCAAAGGAGTTAAGCTCGATCGCCCATTTAGTTATTCTTCTAGACAAATCTGGTTTAGAAAAAATGACTCGCATGGGGTAGTTGGTAAGAACTTTGATGCTGTGTGACTTAAAGTAGTGTCGAAGCTTCCTTTTTGCATATACTAATGCTAGTATGATCTTTTCGGCTTTGCTGTACCGCGTTTCTGCATCTGTCATTATCTTACTGGTGTAAAAGATTGGATACTGACTCTTACCTTCTTCTTTGATCAATACTGCACTTGTAGCTATGCTGGGATGGTTAAATACATGATAAGAGTCTCACCAAGCTTTGGAGCTGACAGAATTGGGGGTTTTGCTATGTAACATTTCAGTTGATTGAGAGCATCTTGTTGTTGTGGTCCCCATATGTCTTTGTTTTTGGACTTTATTGCATCAAAGAATGGTTTGCACTTATCGGATAATTGAGAAATGAATCGACTGAGAGCTGCGATTCGGCCGGTCAGAACTTGTATATCCCTGCGGGTCTTTGGTTCTTGATTTTGTATGAGGGCTTGAACCTAAGTCGGACTTACCTCAATTCCCCTTTTGTTCACTATATGGCTGAGGAACTGTCTTGAAGAAACTGCGAAGGAACACTTCGAATGATTTAACTTCATGCCATATTTTCTTAAAGTATCAAAGACCTCTTGAAGGTGTCTAGGATGCTCCTCCTTCTTCACACTCTTAACCACCATATCATCGATATAGGGCTCGACCGTCTTTCCCAACATTTCATCAAAGATCTTGTTAGCAAGGTGCTGGTAAGTTGCTCTAGCATTTTTGAGCCCGAAGGGCATAACTTTGTAACAATAGGTACCCTTTCCCGTTATGAAAGCAGTCTTCTCTTCATCCTCCGGAGTCATAGGAATTTGGTTGAGCTGGAGTGCGCATCAAGAAATGTGAGCCTCTCAAAACCAGTAGTGGCATCAACCATCTGATCAATCTTGGGTAACGGGAAACTGTCTTTTGGGTAAGCTTTGTTGAGATTGGTAAAATCTATGCAAACTCTCCATTTGCCATTCTTCTTCTGAACTACCACCACGTTGGAGAGCCATTGTGGGTAGTACACCTCCCGAACGAATCCTGCTTGAAGTAATTTGCTTACCTCTTCAGCTATAATTTGGTTGCGCTCTAGGGCAAACCTTCTATGCTTCTGTTTGACTGGTTTATATGCTGGATCCACCTTCAAGCTATGGCATGAGACTGAAGGATCGATCCCTACCATGTCTGAATGCTCCCAAGCAAATGCATCTGCATTTTGTCGAATGATATTGATTAATGCTTCTTTTTCTTCTATTGTGGGGGAAGAACCCATGTAGGTGATTTTCTGAAGATTGCCGAGGATTACTTCGACAGCTTCCAGAGACTCCTCACCGAGGAAGGATGTGATGACTGAGACTCACTACTCTGAGTTTTCTGTTCATCTAGGAGGCGACAAGATGTATCAGGATATGAAGCGGCAGTTTTGGTGGGCAGGTATGAAGAGGGACATTGCTTTATTTGCCTTATGATGTAGTACTTGTCAGATGGTCAAGATTGATAATCAGAGGCCGCCAGGAGCTCTACAGCCATTGCCGATATCGGAGTGGAAATGGGAGAGCATTTCTATAGACTTTGTGGAAGGGTTGCCAAATTCCTTCAAGGATCACAACTCTATTTGGGTTATTGTGGATAGATTGACGAAATCAGCTCATTTCTTTCCTATTTGCACTGACTTCACCTCGGAGCAGTTGGCAAAGCTTTACATCTCAGAGATTGTGAAGTTGTATGGCATTTTATTGTCTATTATATCAGACAGGGATTCGAGCTTTGTGTCGGGATTCTAGAAGAGTTTTCAGCAGGCTTTGGGTACAGAGTTGCACCTTAGTACTGCTTATCATCCTCAGACTGATAGACAGACTGAGTGGGTGAATTAGATTATGGAGGATATGCTTCGGTCGTGTGTTCTTGATTTCAAGGGCTACTGGGAGGATTATTTGCCACTTGTGGAGTTTGCTTATAACAATAGTTTCCAGAAGACTATTAGGATGGCACCATTTGAGGCGTTATATGGCTGATCGTGTCGATCGCCTGTTTGTTGGATGAAGGTTGGTGAGAGCAGATTCTTGGGTCCTAAGCTCATCAAGGATACTTCCGAGAAGATAGCTCTTATTCGAGATCGCATGCGTACTGCCCAAAGTAGGCAGAAGAGCTATGCTAATCATTGCACTCGTGCTTTGGAGTTTAAGGTTGGAGATCAGGTTCTACTCAAAGTATCGCTTATGAAAGGTGTCATGCGCTTTGGGAAGAAAGGAAAGTTGTCACCGCGGTTTGTCGGTCCATTCATGATTACGGATTAAGTTGGAGCTGTGGCTTATCAGTTGGCACTTCCGGATAACTTGGATCGCGTTCACAATGTGTTCCATGTTTCCATGTTACGAAAATTTCTGCGAAATAAGGATCGGTATCAGTATATCGATGTTAGGGAGATTGAGTTGCAGCCGGATGCGGCTTAATTGGAGCCACCATATCGTATTGTCGACCGTTGGGATTATATCCTTCGTAACAAGGTTATCGCTTTAGTTCGTGTATAGTGGAGTCATCACAATGAGGCTGAGTCCACTTAGGAACGGGAGGATGTCATTCGCTCGCAGTTTCCTGAAATATTGGAAGAAGGTAAGAGCGAATTCCGAGGACGAAATTCCTTTTGTTAGGGGGGAAGAATGTAATACCCCTAATTTCAAAAGGATAGTCCTGGTATTTATTATATTGTTTACATTGCATTTATTTTTGTTTAATTGTTAATTTCAAAAGGATAGTCCTGGTATTTATTATATTGTTTACATTGCATTTATTTTTGTTTAATTGTTTATTTGATTATTTATTTAATTGTTGTTATTTGTTTTATTTATTTAACTGGCAATTTGCTTATATTCGCATTATTTGAAATTGTATATATATGCATAAATTGTATTGAATTAATTGTTAGATAATTGTTTAACTGATATAATTTAGTTGTTTTAATTGAATTAAGTTAATTATATTTAAATTGTTTTAACGTGACTGTATGGAGGCACATCTGTATTTATATTAGGGTTTTATTTACACGGATGTAGCCGACTTAGGGTTGGTTTTGTATTAGAATTAGGGTTATGCTAAAGCTTATAAATACAGTATTATACGTTGGTTTAGGGTTACATAGAAAAACCCTATTCACTGATACGTATACCGTGAGACTGAGAGATACAGAGAGTGAAAACTGGTAAGGTTGACGGAGAGGTTCAAGGATACACTGGACGGAGTGCTTCTGGATTGAACCAAGAGCACTTGAGATTTAGAACAGGAGTCTCGAATGTGGATAGAAGCTTTAGAGACAGTGGTTTAGAGTTTCAAAACTGAAACTCAAGGCAAGTCACTATTCTATTCCTTCCCTTTAATTCATGTTCTGTGCATGCCTATTTAGACCCCAGGGATTAATCAAGCATTAAAATAGATTAAATTAAAGTTAATATTGATCTGGTAAGCATGTTTGAATCAATTTTTAAATCGTTGCATAAATCTATTTTTTTTTTGTGTGAGAAGTTATTCTTGTTTAAGAATCTGTTTGTACTGGTTATAATATTGCTTAACCTTTGTGTATTTAGGATTAAATGCATGCTTTTAATTAAATCTAGGACATCAATTGAACCCTGGAAATAGTTTTAAAAACTGTACAGAGACTCTGGATTTCGTCGGAGGCAAAGAAGATGAACAGGTTAGGGGATACAGCTCTCAAAAGAGGAAAACCGGCTCACCTAAAGGTAGAGCCGGCTCTAAGGCTTGTAGAGCAGGCTCTACAAGGGTTAGAGCCGGCTCCACATAAGGTGGAGGCGGCTCCACCTAGGGGGAAGCCGGCTCTAATGTTTTGGAGGCGGCTCCAACCCTATTCTCTTCAGTTTTTTCGTGTTCTGGGTTTGGATTGGACTGTGGGAGTTGTTTCTAAATGGTTCCAGTAGTTGTGAATGAGATTTGTGTATGTTTCAGACTTGTAAAAAAAAACTCTTGGGAAGCATGTTGATATTAATATGTTGAAACAGGAAACAATACTTGGTTAAATAATAAATCTGTATGGAAGGTTGAATTACACCTTGAGCTTGCCTACTGTTTCCATAAAGCAACTTGGTTTCTTAGCATAATTTTAATCTGTTATTCATGTTTCAACTGTTTTATAAGCATATATTATTTGTTCTGGGAAAAATAAGTATGCTTAAATGGAAATTAATTGATGTTTAATTTTACTGTATATTGCATCAAGATATGGTACTGATTGGAGGGATAGCGTGCGTAGTTCTACTTTATAAATTTGAAGAACTGGAATAGAGGTTCTAAATCGTATATTGGATGTATGTTTTAAACCTACACAGATTAGACTTATGTATGTTTTCTGGAGTTTGGTTGATGACTATCTAATATTGTGTTGTCAACTTTGTTAACTGGAGGATGGTATGTACTGGTATGGGACGGTGACATACTAGGTATGGACTAATTCAAACGCTAAGTCCTATCTAATTCGGATTAAGGTACGGATTAACCATATAGGTTAAGTTCATTACCTACTTGTGTCATGTTAACAGAATAGTTGATTGACTTGATATGGTTTCAGGACGGATGGTTTTACATATACCAGACCACTACACAGATGGATGGTATTTTGTATTAGGAGGAGTACGGATTTTATATATTTATTTTATGATGCCATGGTATGAGCTTGAGTCTCAGGACCATGGTTAGGGTGCGTATATCGCCTAGGATGGATAACTGGACATGGGTGTTGTTCCCTGGTAGGTCTAGGTATACATGACCACATTATGTGTAATTTACATGGTATCTCTACTCAGGCTGAGATAGACCTACTGGACTAGCGAGTGTCCTATAGTGTGTACTATATATTTACAAATGGACTACTCTAGATATTGTTGAGTCTTCCTGGGATGTATCTGCGTATCGGATTACTGTATGGATTGTAGTAGAATAGGACTTGCATGTGGGCCTGACCCACTCTCTTATTTTTCAGGTATTCGTCAGTTCCAGGGTTAAAGATTGGACGTGCAGTGCAGATACAGACATTCATTCCTCCGACTACGTAGGAATTCTTTCTGTGTTTAGCTTTAGATTTTATTTCTGTTATTTTAGTTTCTATTGGGATTTTTAGTAAGGGGTCCAGTGGATGGATTCCCGAGTTGTTAACCTTATGGAGTTTTGGAGTATTGGATTTCAATAATTATATTTTTAAGGATTTTCAATTAGCATTCTTTCAGCTTATTATTTTTATTTTTTATTTCATCTTGTATTCTGTGTTCAATTACATATTGATTGGTTGATATTTCCCTTGGGTTTGGGTCTGGGCCTAATCAACCCGTGTCTTGGATCCGAGGGGTATCACAGCTTCGGCCTCCTCCTCTACTCTTAGATACCTGGGCAGAGGATTCTGTAATTGCTATTTGGATTTGCTTTCCGGAGGTGTGATCAGTTGGGACTGTTTCACTACCTTCTTTGCCTCATTCTATGTTAACATATAACACTTTTTGGCAGCTACTTGATCTCCTCTGAGGTCTATAACCTTTTTCCCATCCGGAGACAAACATCGCATCACCTGGTGAAGAGTAGACGGAACTCCATTCATTCGGTGGATCCAACCTCTCCCCATAATAAGATTATAGGAAGGATGGATCTCTGTTAAGATAAAGTTTTCCTTGAGAGTCCCCTTTGCCGCAGTTACGGATAAGTCAATCACCCCAAGGGGATCCACTTTTGTACTATCGAACCCCATTAACGGGCTGGAGGTGGGCCGAATTGATGATGACGGGATCTCTAGCTGTTTAAAGACCGCCTTTGTGATGATGTT